ATAGCATGAGTTCATCGGAATCGTTTGAAGAGTCCGTTAGGAATTTCTGGATTGAACCAGATTTTGAAGATTTTTCGTACCAACAAAATGAATTTTCATCGAACTTGGCTGAGGGAGAATCTATGGTTCCATGTTTTTTGGACCATGACGATGATAGCATTGAGTGGTTCCACCAGATATTGAAAGAACTTCCAGAGAAGTGAAACACTTTTGGCGTTTTAATGTGTTATATATATATATATATATATTGGTGAGTCGTACTGAGAGCCTTAGAAATAGGAATATTCATGCAATTGTAGAAGTTAGTTGCTCCAGTTTTGTTGTGTCAGAAGGGAATAAAAAAGGAATAGCAAACAAAAACTTCTATTAGTTGTGTTTTTGACATTTCTCTCCTCATTTTGTCTTGCCTTTGGCTACAGGGGGTTAGTTTTACAATGCCGTTGTTTTAGGAGTTGTTATTTTAGCAAGTCATTTTAGTTTTTAATTATTTTAATAACTTAAAATTTTTATATTTGAGAAAATAATTAAATTTTTTTATTATTAGATATGATATTTGTAAGAGAAAAAGTGAAATAATTATGAATTTAATGTAACATTTTATTTTATTAATTATTTCAGTCCATTTTATTTTTTTGTAAATTTTAACCTTAAAAAGGCTAAAATTTATCTTCAATCTTAACCTTAAAAAGGCTAAAATTTTTCTTGTCAAACACCACCTATATTTGGTTAAGGTTAGAATATGGCAATGAGATAAGATTGAGGGATCATACTAATATGGCTTCATTTCTCTCTCCACACACACACAGGCTATGTGAAACGGATTTCATATCTAGTCACCCAACCAATGATATAGAAAAAATGTTGGGAGACATAGGGACCTATGGCCATGTTTGATTCATAACACTAATAGTGAGGTATTAATAATCCTATTAAATTAGTGTGGTATTAGTTATCCCACCCCTACCCCATTACTAATAATCCTACAAATTTGTTAGATTAATTATCCATTGGATTAATAATCCTAAACTAAAATGTCAAAACAAACATAGGATGATTGGGCCCACGGATTAATAATCCCAATCCTATGCTTTAATCCTTCAAATCAAACATGCCATATGTGCCTTTCTATACTCTCTTTATCCCGTCAAAGCGGTTTGTCCCCTCCATGTACTCTCATCGAACAATTCTATATTTCATTTCTTATGAAAAATGGTGAAATTTGTGAGAAATTAACTAAAGTTACTAAATACAAAATTTTCAAAATATTTAAATTGTTCATCTAAATGCAAAGTTCAAAAATAAAAAAATAAAATTATAGGAGACATTTGGCCTCTTTCCTTTTTCTTGTTTTGTTCATTCAAATAAAATGGTGAAAAATCAAAATCATACTGTTACACAACAGTGTCACTTGATGTTCAGAAATTAAGAAGCGGGCTAAAAGTCACTAGTGCCGGGTCAATTGCAATTCCAAATTTGTGAGTTTTTTCAAAAATTCTAAGTTAGAATTTCTAAGTCTTCAACGAGGGCATGATGAAAGCAACTTTGGAAATTTAGTACCTTTTAAACACCACAACCACCCCCTTCCCCTCCCCCTCCAAAAAAAATAAAAAAAAAACAAAAAAACAAAAAATATCACTTTACTTCAAATAACTCAGCTTCATATATAAAGTAATTATTAAATTTTTCATAAACATTTGTTGATTATGTACTCGCTGAATAATAAGGTTATATAGTTCAAAAAACATGATCAATAATAGATAAATCATCATGGACAAGGACACAACACAGGGTATTCCGGATCTATCTGATAATTTAGAAATTAGGGTTTTGGATGTTGTAAAATACAAATACTCCTTAAAATTTGAATACCTTTAATGTAGTGTACTTTGTATTCGGCAAAGCCGCTACCGAATTGATGAAGCCTAAAAATGGGCTGTTTCTCTAGGCCCAAAATACGAAGTCAAGTCTCATTCCGTCATGTGATCAAACAAAAAAAAAAAATGCAGGCTTCCAAACAATGTGAAATCAAGTTCATGTTTTACAATCTTCCACATCAAATCAAATAAAAGATGTCCTTTGGTATGAAATCGACAGTGGATTTGAACATTGTTGCATTGTAAAAAAGCAGATGTGGCTTCTATTTTGTTTTGATTTTCTGTTTAACTTTTTGATCAGTTGAATTATATTGACACAAGATAAAAATTAAAATCAAAATTAATATGATTAAAATTATAAAGATTAAAATAATACAATAAATAAATATATTTTTTCCTTTTAAGAAACTTTCAAATACTTGAAATAAGACAAAAGTTGAGTAATAGATTTTGTATTTAGGAGCAGCCCCTGTATTAAACACAGCAGGTCAGATGAGCAACTTGCATGCCAGTTTCAAAGCTCAGCAATAGCTTTTGTGTTTACTATTACTACATACATTACATACCAACCTCTGCCAAAATGATTTTCTTTTAGAAAAAATTACGAATGTATGTAATAGTTTTTAAAATAATAATATTATAAATTTTGAAATTTATCAAGAATTTAAATTATGTGGATAAAATTTATTTTAGGTATGACCCATAGCACAACAACTCTCATTTACACCACTCGTTTTTTTCACAATTTTTATGATTGACAAATCTAGGACAGTAACATTAGTTTAAAACAAATACATCAAAAGTGAAATATATTTTTGTACAAGTGTGATGCACACAAAAAACTTGTACTATCATAAAAATTTTCACTGTCTAATTGAAATATAATTCACTTTATTTTATCCTCAATACAACGAAATTGCATAATAATGTGAGTGCATATAGGAAAAAGCCTCTTATATGCATGAAAATTTATATATAAGCCTCTTTTCTAAACTCATTTTTTAGATTAAGTGATATGTAAATAAGATAATTGTTTGATAATCAGAGAATAAATAAAAGAGAGTTGATTTAGATATTTAATAAATTATCACGCCAATGGATCTAGAAAGTAAGTCTAATATTTGAACATGAATAGTAACACTCTATAAGAATATATGAGAGAGGGCATGATGAGTCTCATAGATCTGAATAACGTCTCTCCAGTCTAGACGAGGACTAAAAGTATCCCATCTATATGCACAAGTGTAGACTCAATCATATGAGAGGAGATGTGGATGCAACATATCACTCTAACACATAATAATTTTAGAGACCAAATGTTTTGGTCTCTGAAAGTAAAAATTTTGTTGCAAAAGATATTTATGGTCCAATTTCTATCGTCAAGGGGATAATTGTTAAAATGTCATCCCAAAAAGTCAAAAATAAGACTTTTAGCGACAAAATTTTGAAAATATCACTAATAAATAGACTTTTAAAGATAAAACAATTTGGTTTCAAAATGGTTTATTTTTTTAGACAAAAAATTTAGTCCCAAAAGGCTAATAATTCATCACTAATGTCTAATTTTCGTTACTAAAAATATAATAATGACACTTTTCGTAACAAAAATATTTGATGCTTAAAAAATAATTTTATCTCTAAATTTTGGTCTCCAAAATCTTAATTTTTTATAGTGCGTGAATTTAGTAATTATTTATTTAGTTTTTTAATGCTTGAAAATAACTACACATTTAAACATGAGCAACATCTCATCATACAGACCTCCACATTTATATCATATGTATATATCTCTCTCTCCGGCGGACATTCGGCTATCCATCCGGTGGTCCAAGTTGAATGTGTGGTGACTTTTCGATCTACTGCGTACAGAGATCCCGTAAGTGGGCCTAGATTTCTTGAATAGCGAATACTCATTGGGAGGACCATCCAACGGTTGACTACATGTGATCAATTTGAATCTGTGTGTAAAATTGGCTAAGCGGTGCAACTAGTTATTGCCCTACAATATATAAAGATATATAAAGGTGTTAAAAGATCAAGTATTGAAGATTTTGTTACAAAAATTATTAAAAAATCAATTTCAGTAATCACGTGGGAGTGGTTTTAAAAAGTTTTTTTTTTTAAATATTAACAAAATTTTAAAAATATCGCTAATAAATATATCTAACAATAATTTCATAACAAAATGTTTATTTCTTTTAGACAAAAAAATTTAATATTAAATATTCAATTTGCTACTAAAAATACAACAATAACACTAAACAATTAAGATATTTCATTCTTCAAAAATAATTTCGTTCTTAAATTTTTTGTTTTTTAAAATCTTAATTTGTTATAGAATATTAAAAATAGAATGATATCTATATTCTTGTGAAAACAAAATATATATATACATACCCACTATATTTTGGTACATGACATTAATAACTACTGAATAGATAATCTAATAAAAATATGTAATAAGGATAAAATTATCCTAAACATGAAAATATGAAAGATGAAAGATGGCGTCAAATTATATGTTCCAAAAAAATTTTCACTTATTTTTAAAGCACTCTTGGCCACTGCAGTTCAAGATTTCTAAATTCTGAAGTAAAGTTATACAAAAGAAATATATGCAGGCAGGAACACTGTAAGAATAACTTAAACAATGTCAATTTTGTAAATAAGAATCATGTTCATAGATGTTTTCTTTTGGGAATGGCTTCTGTCCGGTCCTTAATCGGACTGAACCGTTCTTAAAAAATTGACGTTGAGCCACATTAATTTTTTGTTCATAGACTCATTTAGAAAGTCTCACATTTTCAGTATATAGATGCTTGGAGGGAGAAAAAAAATTGAGATATTTTTCATTTATTTGTTAACTATATTCGAGAAAATAATTAGATACTCTTAAAATGTCATATAATATTATATACGTTATATTTTAATTATTTATTTCTTAATTACTCCATTAAGATAAGTAAACCTATCTTAATTGTAAAACCCAATTATTATTTTTAAGACATTCCAAATTTATGGCAAAACACCACAAAAGGGCAAAATAGTAAGTTTGCCCACCACCCCTTTTCCAGCGCTGACCAGAAAATAAAGCTAAAGACGGAAGAGGCAAGCGCCAAGAAAATCTTTTGATTTTCCCAGGAAAATTATTCAGTTTTTATCATTATCATTATTCCCTCGCCAGAAACAAAGAGATACCCAACAACCAAAACACACAAGCCAAAGACCATGAAATACAAAGTTTGTTTTGTCTTTGTTTGGTCCATCAGAAACTTTCTCTCTCTCTCCTCTCTCTCTCTCTCTCTCTCTCTCTCTCCATTTTCTTTTCTGGGGTTGAGATAAAAGCCCAACAACAACCACTATACCATCTGTATCACTCACTAGTCACGACTCAACCTTTTCAAGCTCAGCTAGCTAGCTAGTGTCCTTCTCGATCCAGCCAATTGTGCCTTAGCTGTTCTCTCTCTCTCTCAGCTCAGCACTGTTGAATCTGGGAAAGCTGAAAGCTGAAATGAGTTATCATTTTTGAAACTGCTAATGTTTTGACGCTTTGTGTCTCTCTCTAGCCTAGCTGTTGTTGTGGTGTTGGTAATAGCTTCAGCAGCGGTGTTGGTCTTCTCGCTGTCCGAATTTGAGCTCGAGCTTGAGAAATGCCGGTCAAGCACATTGGCCGGTGTTCTTGAGCTCGATGCTAATTCGAGCACGGATTCATAGCCATCCATTGCTATGTCTTGCATTAAATTGCAACAGTTAAACAACTCATCCTGCAACACACATGTCACCACAATTAATTTAAAAAATTACTATAAAAACACAAAAACATGAATTTATGAGTACATAATGGACTTTAGTTTTACCTTATTTACATATGAACAGTTTGAAATTGCTACCCGAAAGCTTGGACATTGTAATGGAAATAGTTCGTGAGAAGCAGAGAGAAGGGCTGATGCTGCAATTATCGATGGCCTGAACTCTAACATCATGATGTCTGTAATGCAAAATCAAGTAGTTTTTCAAGTTATGAAGTGGGTTGTGTTGTGTTGTGTGAATGCATAAATGATTGTTGGTTTTGTATATACCATTTTGTGCTTTGAAGATGATTTCAGTGGCTCGAGCTTTAAGAGCTTGAATCAACGGTGAGTCTTTGAATTTGAACAAAGAAATGAAGAAATTGATGAAAGAGAAGGGAGTTACGGAGCGCATTCGCCATTGAAGAGCTCCGAGAATTAACATCTCCATTCGCTGAATTGTTTGGGTATCAAATATGAAACCTCCATCATGCTGTGTATCCACAAGTCATATATATCTATGAGAGTGCTCTGTTCATTTATTCAAAAAGCAGAACATGAAAGAAAAAAGTGCAAAAATTACCTGAATATCAATGACAGAGCACTCTGTTTCTCTCATCTTCAAACCCAAAGAAACGCAAGAAACAGCAAGAAGCCTCACAACCCATGGCTTCCCAAGCTGCAATATCAAGAATCAATCAAATCAACACCCACATAAATGCATAAACAGAGATATATTATATGTAGAGATATAGACATAGACAGAGAGATGGGTCTGTGTATACCGATACGCATTGGGTGGAGAGGAAGCGATCGAGGTAATTGATGGCGAGGTAGGAGAGAAAAGGATCGAAGTTGCAAGAGAAATGTAAGATTAGAGACACAGCTTGACTGCGAACAGAGAGGTCGAAATCTGTGGATTTGAGGAGGGATTGAGAGTAGTTCTGGGAGGGCATGTGATCGGATTCAACGTGGAAAAGAGATGAAATTGAGTCGGAGAAGGTTGAGAGTGGGTTTTCGAGATCGAAATCCATTGATGAGTAAGTGAAGCAAAAGAGGATTAGATGAGGAGAGTGGAGAAAATGGAGTACACGAAACTCATTGTTAAAAGGAGAGAGAAGAGAGAGACAGTGAGAGACAGAAACTAATAAATGGGAAAGAAGGTAAAAGGTGAGAGTTCGCTGTCTTCTTTAAAAAGAGGCCGTAGATAAACTTCAGCTTCACTCCTCGGTTCTCTCTTTACCCTCTCTCTCTCTCTCTCTCTCTCTATCTTTTCCATTGGCATCTTGCCTTAGCTTATTTATTTATTTATTTATTTATTTATTTATTTATTTATTATTATTTTTTTTTTGTCAATCTCTCGTCGGGAAGGAAAAATTGTTAAGTTGCAAGTAGGAGGTGGGAATCAGATGGCTCGAGTGTGGATAGACATTTTTTTTTAAAAATAATTATTGAGATCTTTTTCTGTTTTTTTTAGAGCTTCACAATTTTCTTTAAATTTTAATTATTGATGGTGTAAGCTTCACATATATATAGCCTCCGTTTGAGAAGTGAGTTGACTTTTTGACTTTTTGACTTTTTTGGCTATTTTAGTCTGGGCTTAAAAGCTTGGTTTGGGAATGATTTTTTGGCTTTTTGGCTTTTTTGAGTTTTTTTGTGAGAGAAAAATGTAATGATTATGGGTTGGATGTGATGTTTTGTTTATTATGGCTAAAATAACTTATTTTGTTTTTTGTGACTAAAATAGCTAAAAAAACCCAAACCATGGCTTCCCAAACGAAGCCTATGAATGAGTCACACAAATATATTAATGGTTGAGATTTAAGGGGATTGTAAGAATCAAAAAAAAAAAAAAAGAGATTTCAAGTATTTTTCTTTTTTTTATTTTTAATTTGAGATCAAAAAGTTTGTTTAAGTTAGGCTAAGTTTGACATCTCCTAAAAAAGTCAAAAAATCACTATGTCATATCATCTTATTTAAGTCAAATCACTTATCTACCACATCATTTCAAATCCAACTCATATTTTATAAAAAATCAAAAAATACATTTATTTAGAAATTTCAAACAATCATTAAAGTTTTTTTAATTTTTGTAAAAAAAATTAAAATAATTATAATTTAAATGTAACATTTTATCTTATTGATTTTTTAACTTATTTTATCTTTTAATAACTATTTTAATCCCAACCAACCAAGCCTAAAAATAATAGGGTTTTTTTTTAAGGTCTCTGCTATTAAGATTTTATAGCATAAAGGACACCTAATATTTTCATAATGTCTAAGGTCCCTCAATCTTATCTAAAGAAATTTCATCCAGAGAATTTCTCTAGACTTGCCAGAGAAATTCTATCTAGAAAAATTCTATTCAAAGAAATTTTGGACCAGAGAAATTATATCCAATCCAGATAAATTTCTCTGACCTTCCCTTCTTTCCAGATAAATTTTCCTTCTCTGGCCTTCAGAGAAATTTCACATTCTAGAGAAATTTTGGAAATTTCTCTGGCCTTCTTAGCCTTCCCTTCTCTCCAAAGAAATTTCTCTTCTTCAAACCCAGAGAAATTTTTCCAAACCAGAGAAATTCCCCCTCTCCAAATCCAGAGAAATTTCCCCTCACAATCTTTTCTAGTTGAACAATCAATAACGATCTATCAAATAAGGAAAAGATTACGAAATCCTTACTTTGGCTAAGAATGAACTTAAACGATGCTCCCTTATCACGACTCGAATTGAACTAAGTACCATCAAGTAAAGTCTCAGTGTAATTTTCTCTAGTATGTTTAATTTTATCTGCCATGTGTAATTTTCTCTGGCATGTATAATTTTCTCTAGCTAGTTGTGTGATTTTCTCTGCCATTTGTAATTTTCTCTGCCAGGTTGCTTCTTTGATTTTTCTCTGTCATGTTGCTTCTTTAATTTTCTTTGCCATGTTACTTCTTTGATTTTCTCTACCATGTTGCTTCTTGATTTTCTCTACTAGGTTGCTTCCTTGATTTTCTCTGCTATGTTGTTTCTTTAATTTTCTCAGCCAAGTTAATTCTTGAATTTTCTCTACCATGTTGATTTTTTAATTTTCTCTGCCATGTTGCTTATTTAATTTTCTCTGCCAAGTTGCTTATCTGATTTTCTCTGCTATGTTGCTTCTTTAATTTTCTCTGCCAAGTTGCTTCTTTGATTTTCTTTACCATGCTGCTTATTTAATTTTCTCTACCAGGCTGCTTATTTGATTTTCTTTGCCATGTTACTTTTTTAATTTTCTCTACCAGGTTACTTCTTTGATTTTCACTGCTATGTTGCTTCTTTGATTTTCTCTACCATATTGTTTCTTTGATTTTTTTTTTTTTGCTATGTTACTTCTTTAATTTTCTCTACCAGGTTGCTTCTTTAATTTTCTCTGCCATGGTGCTTCTTTAATTTTCTCTGTCAAGTTACTTCTTTAATTTTCTCTGCCATGTTGCTTCTTTAATTTTCTCTGCTAGGTTGCTTCTTTGATTTTCTCTACCATGCTAATTCTTTAATTTTCTCTGCCAAGTTGCTTCTTTGCTGCTTCTTTAATTTTCTTTGCTAGGTTGCTTCTTTGATTTTCTCTGCCATGTTACTTCTTCAATTTTCTCTATCAGGTTGCTTCTTTAATTTTCTCTGTCATGTTGCTTCTTTGATTTTCTCTACCATGTTGTTTCTTTAATTTTCTCTACCATGCTGCTTCTTTGATTTTCGTTGGGGATGCATTTGATCCAAGATAGACACACACAAACACACATCATAATTACACATGTCAAAGAAACATAATCATAGAGATACACAAGGATGTTTTCAAATTCAACATCTATACCACCCATTAAGCTCATCACTTGCTTCCCTGAACCATGATGCACAGGTGGTTGACTCATTTATTTGGCCAAACACAGCAAAACAAACAATTGACTAAGATAAACTTAGAATTGATGGGGAAAAAATATTTATTATTTTCAAATAAGCATAGTAGCTTAAGTTCAAATTAAAAAAATTCAACTTATGTGTATCATTTCTAATTATGTGTTTGTGAATATGCCTTAATTGCGTCCTTCAAAATAACATCCTTCACAAACCCACCAAAAAGCTACATTTCTAATCAACTTTCTAAAGCTCCACTATAATAACCAACACCTTGTCTCCCTCTCTCTATATCTACATATACATGTATATATCTTTGTGAATTTCTAGGGCTTGTTTGACTACTGGTGTTGCCAATGGAAATTGATACTTAATGCCTTTTGGACTACGATCTCAACTCCAAACCATCATTCACAAATGGCTATGTTTCCGAGAAATGGTATCGTCGTTCACTTCCACCATTGGGTTGCCTTCTCGTCGTGGTACGCTTCGATTCCGATATCGATGAAATCGTACATGGATAAGGATGCTTTGAGCTTCGTTTGGCGGAGGAGAGAGAGTTGAAATAGGGAAGACCAAGAGAGAGAAAGAGGTTTGATTTGAGAGTGTCAAATTGAGGAACTTTAGACATCATAAAATAACATTGTAGATCTTATACATTATTAAAATTGAGAGAGAAGCCTTAGATTAATTTTCCCAAAATAATATATAAACCTATTTTCTATCTTTAGTGATTTATAAAAGATAATAATTAGAATATATATATATATATATATATATAATTATATTAAATATTCTAATTAATTGTTATAATATTGAGTTTAAAAAATATTTTTTTTGGAATAGTAATGTCCAAATTGTGTTGGTTGGCAAAACCAAAATTTGGATTTACATCCTTACCATTATATGACTGAAATATATATTTTTTATTTTTGGCTCCGTTTGTTTTGATGCATTTTTCAAGGTTTGATTGAGCAAAAAAAATATATATATGTATATGAAAAATGTTTTGGAGCTTTAATTTTTGAGCTCTAAAGATAACTCTAATGAGTTGGCAGTGGACTTTATCCATAGTGATGTGATGTTTTGGTCTTGATTTATTTATTTATTTATTTTTTGTTCATTGTCATGTCATTAGTGCTCCATTAAAACACCAAAATTAATGGTCTGAATCATTGTTGTATATATATTTTTTACCATAGTCTTCAAAATGACTTATTATTAAAAAAATTATAAGTCAATTTTTAGGAAATTCACCTGTAGCTTGGTCCTTTTAGCATATTTATATTTTCAAAGTTGAAAAAGGTAACCCTTCATTAGCTTTTACCACCTCTTACAATAAAAAGTTTTTATATCAAGTGTGAGCCAAATATTGAAAATTAAATTTTTTTTTTTTATGCAAAGTCTATTTACGTGAAAATTATTTGAGTCAAAATAAAAGGAATCTTAATGCATAAAATTATGAATAATGTTAGAAATATTAAAAAATTTACCAAAATTATAACATGTTATTGAAAAAAATTATTAATTAAATCATCTTTCAGCATATTGAAATTTTTTTAATCTATGACCAATCTCTTGTCATCAAAACCGACAACTTCATCAAAACCGACAATTTCAATCTAGCAATTTGAGAGTTCAAGTTGGAGCCATTGAATTCCGCGGGTACATTATGGCTATGTTTGGCATAGATTATTTTAGAAAAAGTATGGTAGTTCGAATTGGAGAGACTTGAATGGCTCAAGTGAGTGTTGGCTGGTTGTTTGTCCAAATAATCGGTAGGACGACCAGGTGAAAAATTATTTACCGCGGTTGTCACCTTTGTTGACCGCGGCTGTTAGCCTCCTCGCCGGACGATCGCCCGGACATCCGCTTGGACGATCGGTAAAGTGAATTTCGAGCCATTCTAGCCAATCTCATATTCAAGCTACCAAGTATTCCCGGGTTATTTTAGTTATTTTAATTACAAAAAGATAAAATAAATTAAAAAATTAATAAGATAAAATGTCACATTTAAATTATAATTATTTTATTTTTTTCTCATCAAAAAGTCCATCTCAAATGAGACTTCAAAAAATTAAAAAACTAAAAAGTTAACTCACATCTCAAATGAAAACTATATTCACTCCATAAGAATGGTCACACCAGTGTGCCCAAAAATATATATGGTAATTAATTTGTCACCTAATTTTAAAATTAATATCATATGTAAACAAATTTTTACCTAATTATCGTATAACAGTACATAAGGACATTAAATGCGAGTCATATTATAAAATTTTAAAATTTTTATGTCAAGTCTACATGGATATATATGACAAGAACAAGTGAAATTAGCACTTTTGACCCGATTTTAATAACAAACCTATTGTGTCGCCATTTGGC